AGCAAACCTTCTAAAAATAACTGGATGGAATTTATGTTGTTGATTTGAACATATCGGGGAGACAGGGGTAATGGACAACATGAATGCACCTATTCCAACAATGTAGTCCCCAACTTCCAATCCCAAGGTACACTAAGATCTTTATGGAGTTGAAAGGGAGTGAAGGAGTTGTACTGCCACCAGCAAAAGCTCCTTAAACACAGACAGCCCAAGGAACACTGGCAGAGTGAAATCTGGACATAGATGCACCTACTTTAACTAAGGACCAGGAGAAGACACTGGCTGTATTAGCTCTCTGGTGGAAGCTGCCGGTGGGGGACTGTGAGCACAGCAGCCAACCTGCACACGCTTGCTCAGAGTTTCCACATCTGCTGAATGATACTCAGAGGGGAAAAAGCTACTTKACTTTGTCTGGACAGAAGGCCATAGCATCTTTTAGTGGAAGCTTTTGTCAGCTTGAGATCAAACTAGAGCTGCTGTGTTCCTCCCAGAACTCCGCTAGGACCATCGCTTAAAAAACGAGCAAAATGAGGCTGCTGCCATTTTTGTGAATATCTCACTGTTCTGAAGTGATTTTTAAGCAGTTTCTAAAAGAACAATCATGGAAGGCATCATGGAAGAAGTGTTAACCCATAACAACCACAGTTCCTTTGCGGTTCTCTAGGATGTATTCTTYGTTTCCACGGCTGTCTTGGGGAGAACTCCTTGTGCAGAATAGTTCTCTCTCGTATACAGCCCAGAGGGTAACTCAAAATTATACATATTTCATGTCTTATAAACAGTAAACTCTATGGTGGCTCTAAATAAACCTTTTAAACACCAATATAAGGGCCTTTACCACTTGACTTTTCATCTGTTTCATCTGCCAGCTAGTTTCCAGATCTGCATATTTGAGAGAAGAAACTTCCTCCTTCAGTGGGACTTTTCCCTTGTAAAACCCTGTGACCTTTAGAAGATAAAGTTCACAAAAAAAAAAAAAAAAAAAAAAAAANAAAAAAAAAAAAAAAAAAAAACACCACAGCAAAGGCCGGAGAAAGCCAAGCAAGTATGATTTTAAAAAGCAGACATAATCAATATTGTTGATTACATAGGATATATAGCTCAAAATCAAAATAGTGTTGATTCATCTCAAGACACTGAAATTTAATTGCACTAGTGTAATGACCACAATATAAGATTATTCTTATGCAGCATTTTTATTCTGTAGTGCATAGCAACAACAAAAAATGTAATCACTGAAAAAGTTGTTATCTTCTGTCAAGAACTGCCCAGAGACATTCTTCTCACCTTTGCACAAATTCCTAACAGAAGCAAACGGAGGCTCACTTGCATTTAAATCAAATTTGCTAAATAGACACCTACTATTTAAAAACAGCACTGCAATACAAATACACAGACATGCATACACATCCATATACACACACACGGAGACATATAAGATACACATATAAGCACACACATACTTTATGTTTTAGATAGGACGCAAAGTTCCCATTTCCTTTCCCAAATGGCTAAAGTATTCAGTCTGCAATAGTTATTTAGCAAAACAGTTTGTAAAAATAAACCTTGCCATATAGTTAACCAGAGAACCCAGTAACCGAGAAAAACATACAAACAAAATAAACCCCCCAAACCTCTGACCACCACAAGCATCATAAAGATGATGGAACTGCAAAATAAGAAAAGTGGGAGTAGAAAAGAATGGCATGGCTGGGCAAGTGCACCTCCTTCATAGTGGAAAAAAAATCCCTGCCATTGAAGAAACAAATGCTTGCTACCTTTCATGCTCATGCATTAAAAGGTTAGACAGGATAACCGCAAACAAGCGGCTTGGCCCGGGCTCAGCTGGCAGCCTCGTCCTCACCCTCCCACCAAGGCCAGTCATTGCCACCTTGTGCTGGAAGGCTGCAGAGCAGCCTGACTCCAGCAAAACAGCTCACACTGCTAAGGAAGTTTGCTCTGGCCTTTAATATTAGAGGGATAAGTCTGGCAGAGTGCAATCCTGGAAACAGCTACACAGTTCTGGGAAGGTTTTCTCCAGGGSACTCAAAAATAAAAACTTAAAAATGTTAGAAAGTCAACAGAAAGTTAAAACTTACCTATATTCTAGGATTTTTGGGTAGTTATACTAAAATTTACTAAAATTAAAATTACTACCATCATTTATATTAAAATAGCAAGCAGAAGAAATTCTTTATCTTGAAGTCATTTCACCTATTCACATTGTTTTTTCAAAGGGAAAAAAACCCTTCAATATTGTCCAATATTGAATTGGACATTGGAAGAACCTCTTAATATTGTAAGTCACAGCAGAGTTACGAAGACGACCATAAAGAGATGCATCAAAACTGGGTCCTGCCATTTGCTACAGATTTCTGAAGTGCTCATTTAGACAAGTGATAGATGGCAGTTTCCTCATTTCCACGGAGCAAACAATAAAATCCGGAGCAAAACAATAAAATTCTGAGTTGCCTCTACAGTTTAAAAATACAGTATAGAGGATTACTACGCTGAGGGGTTTTTCACTAGGTATTACTCTCACAGAAGAAACTGGAACTTTTAACACTCCTGTGCAATCATCTACTGTTAAGTAGCAATCAAAAAAGGGAATGAATTGCAAGTAAATATTTGTAGAAGGCTGGATTAAACAACCCAAAACATCACAATGCCACTGTATAAATCCAAAATGCAGATACATCTTGAATCCTACACGCAGGTTTGCTCCTCCTCTCAACAAGAATTCAGGGGAATTAACAAGAGGACAAGAGTGGCAAGGCTGACTAACTAGGAAATAATGTCTGTGCAAGGAACAAATACACAGATTAGAACTGTTCAACTTGGGAAAGAGAAGAGCGAGTGTGGGCAGCATAAACATCTATAAAATCCTGAGTGGCACAAGAAATGAATGGAGAAAGATTATTCAATGTTTTCCACAGTGCAGGAACTAAGGAGAACCTTATTTTCTCCAATGAAACTGGCAGGTGGCTCAAAAACAAACAAAAGGAAGTACTTTCTCACACAATGTGTAGTTAAACTCTGGAACTAATTGCCACAGGATGTTGCAGATGCCAGAGTTTACATGACTTGAAAAAGCAATTAGAGAAATTCATAGGAAGAAGAAAAAAATCCATGAAGGGTTATTAATCACAAAGATATTACCTCACAATTAGAAAGCTCCCGGAACAACAGGCTGCTAGATGCTGGGAGAGCATACCAGGGAACTATTACTGCATGCTTAACCTGTTCCTACACTGTTTCCTAAGTATCCACACCTGCTCATTGCCASGAATGGGATACTTGGATCCATAGACCACAGGACTACTTCATTACAGCCARTCTTAGAGATATGCAGCACTGAAAAAGTTTTTAAAGTCACTTTTCCCCCAGTTTGCCTATTCACCTTCTACCCCTTTTTGAGGAGTTATTGAGCAGGAATATCCGTATTCCAAGTCCTGAGATTTACATGGGCTTTCACCATGAGGTAGGTCACCTATGCTGGAAACACAAGTTTGTCATCAAACAGTTTCCTGAACAAACAATAAAACACAGTCAGTGCTTCAGCATTAAAAAACTGTTGCAACATAAGAGACAGTGATGCCATGCTACCAGTATTGAAGACAGAAGTGCCCCAACCTCAGATATTTTAAAAAAATCATACTTATAAACAAAGTTTCAAATCAGGAAGCTTCTTGGCTCCAAATTTTGGCTGGAAATTGAGTTTGCAACCATCAGAGGAATAATATTCTTCTATGAATATGTATGAATAGTGAGGAGCAACAGCAAGTTAACTGATATAAAGATGGAATTCAAGAATGAATGAATAAGATTATATAAGCACAGCAGCTGCCTGCAACAGAGGGAGACTAAACTTCATGACTCAGGAGGTCCCTTCCATTACATTCCTAATTAAAATACAAACACTTTATGAACATGTGTTGTGGCAGCAAGGATTTTCTTGAGCAGATTCCTGATCTGTATTGCATGCTGTAAGAGGAAGTGTGTAGAGAACTGCATTTCCTGGTGGCTCTTTGCTAACAAAACAGATCTGTCTCAGGAGCATAAAATGCTGTTATAAAGATGAGCATTCTTTCCACTGAAGGAAAGGCAACGAAACCCTTTTTTTTCTTGACACCTCCCCATAAAATTAAAACCACCTAGCAATAAAAATATGCAGAAAGAAAAAAATGTTGCTGATTTGATTGTAGAACTAAGCAGTAACAGTTTTAAAATCYTCCCACAGGTACATTAAACAGAATAGCTCGGCATATATTGCTTTGCACTGAATAATGATTATTTTGTTAGAAGAATGTGCCTGTCATTTATGACCTGGATCTGAAGAAATATAGTGCAGTGATGGTGTTCTAACTACACTGTGATTTATGACATGCATGCTAGACACATGAAGCACAAATACTGATGCACAGATACTTATGATTATATATAAGCAGATTACTCTTATAAGTTATATTCATAAAATGAAAAAGTTTGTCTTTGTACCCAAGGATTAAAATCTCTTGGATGGTAAATCAAGGAGATTTCCAGCTATTCCGCGTTAAAAGTCAGCACTGTGGGAAAACTAATTTATCCAATGAAAGAAAAAAGGTGAGATCAAAACCGCCTCATACTATCAAGTCTGAATCACTCAGAGACAGTTCTCTTGGGTATGGATTGTGCTAGAGGAACAAACAAAAACCCCYAAAACCCCATACTCTCTTTGGCTACATTTTTCAGTATACTGAGGTAATACATTTTTAATCAGTGAATTTACATCTAGTTTATGATATGCTGTTTTACACATTGTACCACCCTTGTCCAGCACTAAAATCAATGAGATTTCACTGCATTTAAAAAAACTTCTATTTGTGACACTCAAATAGGCCAAGAGACATACAWATCACTAAATGCGCTCAACTTTGCTTTTCTGCTGATGAGAATAGTGGTCAGAATTTACATATTTCATCTSAAATTAGTTCTAAAACACTAATGGAGCAGGTACTCACTGAGATCCTCTGCCAGCTGGACCCTTTTGCCAGTTAGTAGCTTAACCTTTTTTTCATTGTCTTCAGCAAAGTCTTCCAGTACTTCCTTTACATTCTTCTCTAAGCGTCTTACTGAAGAAAGAAAGAAAAAAAAAGGATCAGTAAGACTTTGCACCTATAATGATTTATTAAAATGATCTAAAGACAAAACTCGGGAAAGGTTTGTGGGTAATACAATATATGTTATCAAATTAATCCAGTTGGAGAAAAAAATGAAAAACAAAATAATTCTGAACACATAAAGCTCTTGTTCATGTCAAGAAGACAAATTCTTTAGGAGGGATATGTTCAAATTTAAATGTACATTTTCTCTCCAAATAATTTTATTATTTGATGGTGATGGCTTTATTTTTCCGCTCCTCAGAAGACAGAAATGTATCTAAACTCAACTTTTTTTTTTTTTTTTTAAACACTGTTTTGGAAGAAGTTATATATAACAACACAGTAATACTGGAWTTTTTTTTGATGTTGCTTCAAACACCACAACTGGCTCACCACAACAGTTTTACCTTCAGTGTTAGTAAGCTGCTGCCTCAGAGTATTTGCTGTAATGGCCAGCATTCGCTGTATTCGCCAGAAGAGGACAATATCATTACATTCAAGCTGAAAGAAGGAGAGTTTTAGCATCAGACCTCTGATGTCCAGTGAACATTGCATGCTCTTACAAGAACCCCTTGAAATACTCTTTTATTGACAACTACAAATTTACGTATACACATCCTGATCTTGCACAACAAACCCAAAGAATAACTCTTGTAACTAACAACAAAACATACCAAAATTTTGTCAGGAACTAAGTCACATTTMATTACATTGTATTTTCTCTACATCCATAATTTTCAAGGAGCTGAATCAATGTTTGTATTATATTACTTTTACTACACAACTAAAAAGCAATTGGCTCATACTGTAAGCAAGGTGCTACATACAGCCTAAGGCTCACAACACACTTGTCCCTAACAAGCACCTTGAAAAGACTTCACAAAGGTGAAGTCCACATTGTGACTACTGGTCTGGCAGATGCTTCTGAAGACAGTGTTGGACTAAGGGCTGTATTAATTAACAACAGAAGAGAAAGTTTCTATATTTGTGAGGATGGCAGGAATGAGCACTGTCTTCACAGCGAGACTACTTAAAAAAAGACAACAGCAGGAAACAAGAGGTTGGATACCACAGAGTGGCAGCTCTTCCCATGCTATGATCTCATTCTTTCCCATTCTTTTCTTTGCCCTTGGAATCCTGACTGCAGGCAAAGACATTTCTATACTAGTAAAGACTTCTGGCTCCATGGTGATCATTGTTTCTCATTTAAAAACAAAGTAATATGCCAAGGAAAATGAAGACTTTCACCTTTTCAGAAATTTCTCTTTGATTTAATGAAAGTGTGATAAAAAAAAAATCTCCTTTGTGTGATTTTGATWACACTGACATTTGTTTTTACAAACTTGGCTTTACAAAACTATCAAGAAATTTAACCAGAAAGATGCAATTGTAAGCTCTGTGGTTTATTTTTTTTCATGAATCAATTGTTGTTCCGAGTCTTAACTCAAAAAAAATGTATCATACAAAACAAAAACAAACAAAAAAACCAACACACTTTTACAGTTTCTCTCAATTTTATACATCAGTCAATAGGTGTCCAGTATGTTTTTTATGAATGTGTACTGAAAAGGTACAGATAAGTAGCAGATGCTTAGTTCATGACTGATATCTAGTGGTCACTTTATGCAATTACCACCATGACAGAATTTTATCAGTTACAAACCTATGTCATAAGTCATGCTGAAGATCATCAGCTATGTCAAGACAAAGGTTATAAAAGAAAGTTAGACTAATTTAAAATAATTGCAGGAGAGGAAGTTTTCAACTAACATGTATAAATATTTAGACAAAAACATAGTTGCTCAAGTTACCTCTGAGTCCACAAAGTGCCTTTGATAGTAATAGAAGCCTCTTCGACATAGATTGCAATGGCTCAAAGCAGTCTTCAGGAAATATCTCCTATATATTTGATGCCAAGTGTCTTTAATCTACAAAAACAGTGCTTACGTTAACATAAAAACTCACTGCTATGCATACTTTAACAATCACATTTGATTTAAAAATAAAGTTTCAGAATTCTGTAAGCTCTATAATGTAGTACGTAAATATTTCTCAGGCACTGATCATAAATTAGGATATGATCAATATTTGAACTCAATTTGACAAACATTACAGATGATTCTGTCAATTTAAAAGTCCTTTACTTCAACACTGGGAATACATTTGAGTAGAACACATTAATTTACTAACTAACTAAACCAGATTAAAGCATACAGAAATATTTAATGGTTTTCAGTGAACTACATAAACATTCTAACTTTCCTTGCTTTGGCTTATGTTTCAGTTCTTCAAACTAAATGCATGTATGGCTCTTCAAAAAAGCTGAGTGCCATTTTTTTTTGTTTCTAGCTAAACAATTGTTCTTTTTTTTGCTCATTCAGAGCCTTGCATTTAATTAGATGAAGGGTCCAATTACAGGTACAAAAAATTAATCATTTTCCAGAACATTTTAAGCCTACATTACCATGCCTTGGGGTAAACTGCCTTTTCACAACTACTGTTACAAAATTTCCCTCTTTTAGATGAAGCTATGATCTTCAAACTGAACATACAACTACAGAGAAGAGCTTAGTAATGCAGAGCATGTTTTATGACAGATATTTATGCTCACAAGGGCTTTGCTTCCACTGTATAGCACATACATAATGACTTTAAAGGCAGTCTTGCCACTGTAGGCGAGAAAATCTGCTGAGCAGATTTTGACTTCAGTCTAAAGTGCCAGATTCCAGAGGTTTGTTCTGACTTGTCTGGCAGCCAACAGAAGAGTGCGAATTGCGTGCAAGCAGCAACTTAATTCAYTTGGAAACATGTGGATTACAAACTCAGTATTTAGCTATAGTCTTTTTAATGCTCTAGAAAGAGGATGCAAATGTTCACAGAAAGCTTCCATATGTTTTATGACAATGTGTCTTACCAGACATGGGTCCACTGTTACTCCTCTTGCTTCAAGATTCTTTCTGACAGTCGTCACTTCATCATTCGCCAGATAAGCTGCATGATCTTCGCTGCATTTGATTAATTTCTCAAGTTCATTTTTTGTTTCGTTACGAATATGCTGGAATAAAAATGTGCAGAATTGTTCATCAAGTTACTCACAGCAATGGCATGAGACAGACTTACTACTGACTCTAAATAATGAGTTAGAACAGAAAAACCCTTAGAAACGAATAGCTATTAATCGAATCTGAACTAAAAGTGTATTTTATTCATAGACAACTCAAATACAGTATTTTAAAAGGCTAACTACGTGTCACTTATTCATATTTTTTTTTCCTGTTCTTGCGGACAGAAATGTAGAAGAAGAAGGGAAGGAAAAACAAACATAGGTTTTAGGTCTTACTTTCACTCCATAAGCATCAGCTGGCATGGTTCATTTTCTTAAGTGATGTGATTTTGCAGCTCTGAAAAGCTCTATTTAGCTTGGAAATGCATCCCCCCTCCTGCAGTAGACCTAACTAATTTCATGCAAATTACTTTTGTCATTTTCTTTTGATACAAACAGCAGAAAAAATGAAAGGCTTTATGTTTTCTGAAAATATAACAAAGGGTAAACACACACTCAGTATCACAGTGACACTGATGAAAATGTCATCTCCACCAGGCGGGAAGTCAGTTTGGTCTCTAGTTCCATGTTATTGCTCATTAAATTCAAGACAGGTTCAATTGACTGTCTTTCTGCTATGCCTGGCTGCACACAAGTGACCAAGTATTTCCTCTGAAACAACTTTTTTTTTAAAATATTCTTTTAAACCCTGCTTACTTCTTAGAAGTATTATTCAGTTTTAGAAATATCTAGAGAAAGTAACATAGAAAGCCCATCACTGGACAGTAAAAGGAAGTAGCTATTTACATTTAAAAGGAGATAATTTTAAAAGCTGAACRAAGTGAGAATACAGGTTGATGGAAATGGTCAAGTAGAATTTACAATGGTGACTAAGTTGCTAGCAACAATAGCCTCACATTAATGAAATTCAATGAAGCATGGATAGGAAACTGCACAAGATTTCTGCTTCAGAGGAAATGCTTGGAAATATGCAAAGTAACCCATTTTTCTCAATTTCTCCCCATTAGAACTTTAATGCATTGAGCTTGATGAGAGTAAAGATGTAACTCAGGAAAAGAACAGAAACATATTTGCAAGCTCATATATATTTATATTAAAAATACATGCAATTTAAAACTTAACAGTAAAACAGTGAAAAAAGAACACTTAACAGATTTAAAACTTTTCAAACTCATGCAAGCGGGAGGAAGTATGAGSTTTTTTTTTTCCTCCTGAAATTTTACTGAACAATAATCAGCTTTCCAAAACAGACTGAACTATCTTTTTATTTATTTATTTTACCTGCTCTTTTGTGCGGCCTATCCAGTATAGCCACCTTTTCTTCCAGTCCGGACCCACCATATCTTCAATAACAGACTCAGCTGGAAAAAGAAAACAGAATGTTAACTACCACTCAAAATACATGCAAGTAGTGAAATGTATATAGTATTAAAATCAGGTACAAGAGCATGAATAGACATTATATGCCCAAGAACATGACACGTCCTATAGGCTCAAGTCAAATGTCTTACTAAATTGCAGCAAGACATTTGCTTTAAAAAAAATGACAGCTGGTACGTATGCCAAGAAAAATATATATCTGCCATCCCTCCACTGGAGACAGAGTTGCACTGTCTTGCAACCGAATCAGAATTTTTACACCTCAAAACCATAATGGACTAGCTGTGCTCCTGAATGCATTTGATATACACCAGATGTGAAAGTATCTTTCAGTTCYACAGATCTCTTCCATTTATCTTCCAATTGCCTTATTTCAAGAGGTAGAACACCAGGCTACTCTARTTGTTTTTGACCAAACCCATCCATCAGTAACAACGCTAACTTCAATTGCCTCCACTATCTCCGTTGTGCTGATAAAAACCCTCACASTGCCATGAAGTTGACCAGATCTGGAAATTGGTACAGATAACACACAAGTAGACTACATCATATAACTTACTGTCTTTGAGACGACTTTGGAGGGTCTCTTCCATAAAATGGATAGCTGCATCCCACTGCTGCTTATCAGATATGGACCGATCTTCTAAGGCATTGTGCTGGATCACTCGCTGCAATAGAGGACAACTCTTTAGCCATAATTATTCATTAAGAAAAAAAAAAAAAAAAAAGGAAAATCTGACATTTTCTTCACTTTTTGATATTTATAGAAATAGTATTTAGTGGGGACACTGGATTTAATTAAGAAGTGTGTTCAAGGGCACCAAAAATATCTTCTTGTGCTGTTAACTTAAGTCTCTTCTCCAGCCTAGTGTAAGTAACAAAAAAGTGAAAACTCCTCAGAGTGCAAAACCTATAAAGATGATGAAGATGTTGCTATCTGATGTGGCTATACTTATTACAGAATCACAGAATGGTTAAGGTTGGAAGGGACCTCCAGAGATCATCTAGGGTGGTATCTAGGTGGGTTTTAAGATCTGCAGAGAAGGAGACTCCACAACCTCCCTGGGCAGCAGCCTGTTCCAGGGCTCTGCCACCCTCACAGGAAAGAAGTTCYTCCTCACACGGAGATGGAACTTCCTCTGTTTCAACTTGTCCTTGGCCACCACTGCAAAGAGTTTGGCCCCATCCTCCCTACACTCTCCCCTCAAGTACTTAGACGTGTCGATCAGATATCCTCTCACTCCTCTCTTCTCTAGGTTAATTATCTTACCATGCAGAATGAATGAGCTGATACTAAACAACTCTCAAAATGCTGTCCATTTGGCAGCCCATAGATAAAACACAACTTCACTTTCCTGAACTAAGTAAACACAATTTTATTGGAAGTTTATTAGCTGTTCCACTAACTAAAGTAATTAAAAAATGAAAACAGAAAAACTGCCTTGTAAGTAGAAAAATATGCTTCCTTAATGTGCAAATTAAAAAATGTTTAAACTTAAGATGATCAACAGCACCATATAGATAAATAAATAAATAAAAATAACAAAAGACTCCATTATACCAGGCTGTCTTCTGCTCTTTCATTCCATCTATGACGTTTAATGCTTTCTTCTTTGACAGCTTGTTTCAGTTTATCAAAAATATCATCGTGCTCTTTTCCTTTTTGTTCTGTCATGAACCGGGAAAATTCTTCTTGCAAAGTCTCCCATGCCACCTAGAAGTTCAGGAGACAGTTAGGACTGCAGTGCAGCATGATGCCATGTATCAGTAGATAAAAGATTTGCTACAGTACTGGCAAATAGGAAAAATTAAATGCATTCTGAAGATGATGCACAAGCAAAAGTCACTGATTTTTCCTCTGCTGCCTTATCTATTAGTAACAAAGTTAATGCTGAATAACCTACTGCATTAAGTGCTGGCAATTGGAATTCTAGTAAATTTGCACACATCTTAAATATAAAAACATGTAGCTTGAAGGTTTTTCTTTTAAAATTCTTTCAAAGGAATTCACTTCTTATGTTTTGATTTTAATAAGGAAATATTCACTAAGACAGCAAAGTAACTTCTGATGCATTCTTTACTTATTCAAGCGTTCTTCAAGTTATCCTTTCATATCCCTGGAGCAATTTCCGCATTTATCAGATTCTTAACAGGAAGGGTTTTTTTTGGTTGTTTGTTTTTTAAAATATGGTAAACAGGAAACATCTTTAGAGAGCTAAAATTTCTTAAGTTCTAACCTCCACTGCTTTATTAGGCAGTTGCTTGTCAGTCCACTGCTTCAGCTTGATGTCCACAGTGGTGTTAAATGTCCCCGAATTCATAGTCTGTGCTGCTGGAAGGTAGATATTCTCAATCACATGAGTAGATACTCTTTCCCATAGTGTTTTCTGAAGAATTTCTTCCCTAAGATAGAAAGATAGAAATATGTAAGACGGCTTCCAAAACAAAGCGTTTAACAGATAGGTATGAAAATTATTGAAAACAGAGAGAATAGACACACAGAATACAGGAAATGAACATSAGCACACAGGTTCAAATAATATGTAGTTGCAACTAAGGATGTAGCTACACATTGTGTTCAGCAGCAGCAAAGCCAGCTTTTTAAGTTCACCTCTGTGCTGCTTGGGGACAACAGTCCTGACACCCTTTAATTCCAGCAGCAGAACCATGCTGAGCTGTGTGTGCACGGGCAAGGAAAGTGGTGGAGCAACAAAGCAGCAGCTGCCTAGCATTGAAGATGATTCAAATAAAAGGCCACACTCCCAAAACAAAACATGCGAGTTTTGCTTCTGGAGCCTTCTGATTTGTTTATTGGAATGTGCTACGATTTCCCACTTGGGATTCTCAGTGGTTGCTTCCAGGCTTTAAAAAAAAAAAAAAAAAAAAAAAAAAAAACACAAAACAAACCAGAAAAAAACCCACACCACCACCAATGCAGCAGAATTCCAACCTTTCCCTGTTTATGGTTCATTTTAAAACATAATAATGGCAACATTAGTTCAATCTTTTTAAATGATTATAAACTGACTGCAGAAATTCTGCAGATGCACTTACACATATGAGCTGAGCCACTGTAGCCTGCAGCCATTGCCCACACAGTCACGTTACTACCTGCTTCCTCACAACGTTTTTTTTCCCCTTAGTTATTTTATGCTGGCTCAGTAGGCTAAGTCATGTTGCCAATGGCTCACACAGATGTCAGATGGTGGAAGGGTGGGAGTTGAGAGCCCAAAAATAGTAAGGGCAAAGAGCAGAACTGCCTTTTTTTGGTTGTACAGGAAAACCTATTGCTTCCAAATGGGCTAAAATTCAGGACACAAGCCTCATCCTTGATAATGTCCCTACTCTAAATAGGGATTAAGTCATTTTTTTCTTTCCTGTTTAGGCATYCTCCTTATTTGAGSTTTAAAATTTTTGAACCTTTCTACCTGACAAGCCACTATAACTGAGGGTCAAACCCTTTAGTTTCTTTACTGTTGGAAGAAATTTCTGACATATTTAAGCTAGTAAATGTAATTATACAAAATTAAAAACAATTGAGGCTTTTAAATAAAAAGATAAAAACACAAGTATAAACTAGGATGGCTATCAGTAAAAATTGCTTTATAAAGARTTTTAACAAACAAAATTCTTCAACATACAAAGGAACTGTTTKGAGAACAATGTATTGTTAACTGAAAAACAGTTACTGTACCAGTGCTTTGGTGTGACCTGAGTCAGACTTATGACTTCATCAAGGATCTCATTCTTGGCTTTTTCAAACAACTCATTCTATGCAAAAGGGAAAAGATGAAAAAATTTTAAGCACAGTTTGACAATATTTTCATAGGAAGAGTAACTAAAACCTTTTCTTATGGCCTAAAGCCCAAGGTGATACCTTCTGGTCATGTTCTGGACAATATGTGTGCTTGCCACAAGCTACCCTGGTTAACCAAGCAGCTTCCCACCCAGCTGTTGCCTGCCGCTGGCCAGGCAGGGCATGTGCTTATTCAGGGGACTCTATAAAAGAATTAGAGAATGGGATCATAATTGTTTTGYAATTCTCTGCCTGAGAGAACAGGGAACGTAACTTATCTTTGCCGGTTTTAATCATCACAATCAAAAAGAAATGCATCGGTTCTGGTGGRTAAATTAAACCAAACTCACTCATCCTTTTACTATACATTTATTTTTGTTTAGGGTTTAATTAACCACAGCTTGAGCACAGTATTTCATARCAAGAAGAACTCAATGTTTCCTCCCCCTATAATAATTTACACTGTCCTCACACTTTTAAATGTTGCTACTTTACCATAATTTTAAAGAACCCTCAGTTAAACCTTTACCATAACTTTAAGGAACCTTCAATTCAATTAAATAGCATGAATTCTAATTGATAGCCTTCAATACTTTACAACAAACAATTTGAACCAGAAGTGTAACCTACCCTGTCAAGCTCTCGCAATCGAGGGTAGTTGTTCTTCCATTCAGTCTCCAGATTAAAACGTGTGGCTGCAAAAGAAGAATAAACAATGTGGCCTTAAAATTTGAGAAACTGCATGGCTATCTTAAAAATTTAAACTATAAGAATATATAATTTTCATATTCCCGTGGATTAATAAAGTTAGATYCAAATCAGATCTACTAAATATTTCAGTCAGGACAATATTTATAAAAGGTAAAGACCTGCAAGCAATAAGTTATTTTCTGTCAATCYATACACTAAAAACAACATACAAATATTTAAAGCATATCCCGATTTATTATTATCACATAAAAATTTACTAATTCTCTTTTATAGCTAAAAATTAAAAGTGAATGTCGCTCTTTCACTTGGTCTTGTGAAACACTGTGCAAAAAGGAATTTACCTTTAAAAGCATCTGCTTGCTGCTCCACCGACTCTCTCACCATTTTCCAGAAGCAATCTGACACAGCAAGACTTAAGTTTTTTGTTGTTACCTGGTGTGCCTTCAGCATAGACGTCCTAGAAAGACAGACAGCTATAGAAAATGTTCCTGTTTACACCCATCCTTCCCTGTCCCCATTTTCTCTTCACAAGAATAAAGCTTCACTTCTTGTGCAGGAAAATAACACATCAACTTGCACTTAAAACTAAAAATCCAAGAGGACTGATCCTTGAAATGTACTGAGTGGCTGGATTCATGTCGCAGAAGCCTTAGATATAGGTACATAATTCAGATCTTCTAGAGCCAAAGAAAGGACAGAGAAGCTCAGACCTGCAGTAGAATGAACAGCTGCTTGAAGCTGACTGTCTCTACATTGCCTTACAGCATGCACTAGGAAACCAGGCTAACTTGTTCACCACAGTAAGATATTTAAAATGCAAGTGGAAGAGATCTTAAACAGCATCCTCATATTGCAATGCTTGTTAAAAAAAGTTTAAAAAAAAAAAAAAAAAAGCTAAGTAAACTGACTAGCATTTACCAACATGGGATCATTTTGGAAAAAGAATAAATAGCAACGTACTTTAAGAGCTTTGAATTTTGAAAAAATTCCTCTTCATACTCTTTAATAGAGTCAATACTTTCACTGCTGTTTCCTGGAGAAAGAAAAGAGTGCTGCAACAGTTCCATTTAGACAATTATGTTACATTTTGGAGGAGAAAATAAGCAGAGGCATAACTCTTTACCTTTTCCTGTAACAACTGCAAAATAACCCAAAGCTTTCATTGGGAAGAGTTTGCCTTCAATTATTTGCTGGATCTATGAAAACAAAGGATAAAAAAAAATGGTGACTTTGTACACACATTCATTCTTGAAGTCTAAAGGTACTCTAATCATATATGCACATAGATTACTGTAAGAAGCAGTTTGTATATAGAACTAAAAATTCAGAAAGAGGCAAAACAGCTAGGGTAGCTCAGTACTTTTGACTGCATCTCAGTTTGTGTGTGTGTGGCCATTTTCAACTCACCCTGCTCGGGCTAGTCACATTTTTCTCAGCAAGATCAACTTTAGTCAAAACAAAAATTGTCCTTTTTCCTTGGGGATCCATTTGACTGACCAAGTCAGTGACAATACTGCGTTCTGCATCCACTGATCCATCTGTTAAAAAAAAAAACACACACCACACAAATACATGGCTATGTTTTAGGGACTACAAAATCTATCATTCTGAAYCATGCAGATACACTAGGTAGGAAAAGTTTCTTCTTGCAATTAAAACAAAACAACACAAAAAAGCCCCCAAACAAACAGTAAGATTATGCTTATATTCAGTTTTTGGTACACAGAAATAGATTTTTTTTCTTCCCAGCATATTACAATTTTGGTTGATTGCAGTGGGATAAGTTTCCAGCAAAAATAAAAGTTTACACTAYGTCACAAGTTTGTTCAAAACATTGAACTATCGTCTGTTATCTTCTAAAACATTTTTTGAGAAATCTTGAACTTTACCATTGTCATTTTCTATCTAACTGCTAAATATATTACTGAAGTTTCTTRTTGCTGCTGATGCTACAAGTGCCTTAACTTATAAACAGAAATTACACAATTAGTACACAATACAGAACTAAAAAAAATTAATAGACCTGCTACTTGAATTACCACGTAGACTTCAATTACCTTGAATACAGAGGATGATGGCATTAGGATTCTGCATATAGGCCTTGCTGATACTAAAGATAGTTTCTTTCGTATCTGGAGCCATACCCGATGTCACAGTCTTCAAAAAAAAAAAAAAAAGTACAAAGGTGTCAAAAAAAAGGTTAACACTCACAGATCTGAGACAGATTTATTTTACAGTGTACTTACACTAATGACACCGGGTAAATCAACCAACACCATTCTCTGCAAACCAGGACCTTTGACACTTAAGGAGATGGTCTGTAAAATAAAATTGAAATATTTATACATACACATACATATTCACTTTTACCTTCGTGCACTATATAAAAAATATTATAGTGTAATATATGTTTTATATATACACACAGACTTTCCTATAACTATACATGTGAAAAAGTTATAGATAGATCAAAACACAATAAAATTTACATGYGCATAAGCTTTAAACCAGCAATAGTCTGTAATTTGAGAAAGTCAAACATTATAGTCATGCATTTGTGACAAAATTGATTTTAATGTTCCACATACACTCTGTATACAACAAAAACCACAGATATATATAACCTGGATTGGCCAGTCTCATGTTTGAAGGAACACTTACAAAAGACCTGCATATACAGTGCCAAATATCTGCATATTTGTCAAGACTTACCTCAGTGCTAACAGTGCATCCTTCTTTCACACTATTTCTCATTCTGATTTCTATTTCATTCCTCAAAGCTGCAAGCTGTTTTGACAAAGGCAAAGTGTCAAGTGTAAACGCTTCATAATTGTAAACACCAACATAACAGAAAACATGACCCAGAAATTATGCAAGATATTCTCTTGTAACTGCTGACTAGATCTCAAATACACCAGGAAAACAAACATATATTGAATAACTAGTTTGGTAAAYGGGGCACTAAACACAACAGGTTACCTGCCCACCCTTGCACACTTCAAAAACAGCCTGGTACTAGAGTTCTTCCTCTATTCTACATATTTCAATACCAGCCCAAAACAATACCAAGAGATAAAACACTATTTAAGAGTGCCCCATTCAATGTTTTACTCTAATAAAACAGGGTATACCAGTCTACAAAGGCTTTTAATTTTTCAGACAGTCAATAATGCAATAATTTTAAGCCACATCATTATACTTACATCTTCTTCCTTGGTCAGATCGAACTCCCGAGAGCTGTCTTTGAATAAAGCCACATGATGGGGACCTTCACTAAGGGTTACCTAAATGGTGAAAGTCATTGAGAAAACATGATAAATCCAACACACAGAAACAYCAGAAGTCCATGGCATGTTTATGTCTCACTACAAATCTACAACTGCATGTAATGTTTATTTAGCACAGGGCAATTTATATCTAAGCTACACACACAAAACCACATACAAAACAAACTACTACTACTCTGACAGTATATATGGATCTCACAGAAGCTTGCAGAACTTCTGACATTGACAGCAAGAACTCACTTGATTAGAGGTCATTTTACAAACAAATTTTCAAAGAGACTTCATTAAAGTGTGCCATTAGAGAAAGTACTATATGGTGAACTCTGATACAGAGATTAGGATATATTTCTTACCTTAACAGGGGAACGTGTCATCATCTCCCCAGACCCTCGAGGGAATATGCGAGCTTGGGCGATCATTTCTAAGACACTAGTTTTTCCTGCACTTTGATCTCCAACAACTACCACCTACAGTAACAGTTTAAACAAGCATTATCTTCAGGTAAAACATTTTAGAAGCTTAGAGAAAAGAGACTAGAAAAACACAATCCATAATAACATAAGCTGCATTATGTTTGATAATAAACACAATGCTTTAAATACGGTATCCTTGATGGAGAACTTTTAAAAAAAACTTTCATGCAAAAACTTTCATTATTGTGGGACATTTCGGGAGGTTACCTCCTCAGCTCACAGGTCCATATTCTGAAAATCACTCATTTTAACATGCTAAAAAAGCTGAGGTGCCTGGGTGCTATTTCCTCCGATTTAAAAGCCAAGACTGAGCACAGCAGCAATGCTGGGGCAAGTTTTATCTGTGATTTGGCACAGACTCAGTGCACCTACATAGGTTAGTGCTGCAACATTTAAAATGTGTCTTTAAGACATATTTTACTGGAGTTAGAAAAAACATGATCAAGTTCCATTTATTAAAATTTCAAAGGCACAAATCAGTACCAGTAACTTGCTTTCAAAAGGTATCCTCCCCCAAAAGCACTGGTACTTTTAGTAAAAAGTGCAAATATGTTGAATTCTTACTTACTCGAGGTAGATGATCTTGAGTGTTATAGCTGGCATCATAATCAGACAAGATGTCAAGCACTTCAGAATACATATCAATCAAGGATTTCTTAAAAAAAAAAGGAAAAGCAAAAAATGAACACTCCATTGATTTATAAAACTCTATGGGTTTATACTGGGCCATAAAAAGACTCTTTCCTAATCTCATAATTACATTCCCACCAATTTTAATAAGATCCACTACAATTTGTGGAGGCACTGGACTATGTATATATAAAGAGCCGGAAGCATATTTATTATCAAATGCAGTGAAGTGGCATCAAGTCCAATCCACATTTTTTACCTACTGAAACAATATGTTTAGTTAGAATTAGTAATCTCTGTGTTCTTCAGCTGAAATTTCAGAATCACACAAGTTGAAAAAAATAACTTACAAAAGCAAAAAGATTTAGTATTTTTTAGTCAAGTGACATTTAACACATSGATATACTAAACCCAATGTTAAAAGTTCAAATATGAATTACCAAATAAAATTTAAAATAGCACGATGAAATCTGCAGCATTAACTACATTTCTAGGYTGAYGTGCAAAATAAAATTACCTTTAACTTCCTCTGATGAATTCCCTTGTCATCTCTTTGCAGTACCAATTTTCTTAATTCTTTGTTCTCCTTCTCCAGTCGCTCCAGCATTCGTTGGTATTTGAGCTTCAAAACAGTCGTATGTTGTTTTTAYATGGAAATAACACATTCACGCAAACAAAGTTTTACCAATGAAAATACACTGCTCTTCAGGTAAGTCTTTCAAAACTACAGAAACCTGCATAATCACTGAAGATTTTTTAAAATAAGCCATCAAGACCACTAGAAATATTTTATTCAGCAATACTACACTTCAACATCAAAAGCTTTAATAAAACCACAATGTTCAAATTCAGGGATACAAAATTAAGAAATTCTTAATTTTCCTCAAATATCTTGCACTTTAGGATTTTTTTTTCCTACTAAACTTCAGCTTGATGTACACAAGCCTCTATCATTAAGATACTCATTAATCCAGACGAATTACCTGAGTGCGCAAAAGTTCTTCTTGAAGTTGGTCGATCTTTTCTTTGTCAGAAACCTACAAAGAAACAAGAATCGTGATTCCCACCACATGCCTTAGTTTATCCACTGCAAGAAACCAAATCCCAGACCGAAAGCTTAATTCCACATAAGAGTATTGGCTTTACATGCATCTTAAAGTAACTAAATCCTCCAATTCGCATTTGAGATTTAATGCTGATGAAAAAAATCCATTTGCAATAGAAGGATCACATGAAGAAATTTTTAAGTTCCAGCACATGCAAATGCAAAGATTAACCATTCAAGACATAATGGGAAAGTGGGTCTTCAGAGAAACAATATTTTGTTTAGTGCCCAACGTTTCAKGGCCACTGGCTCACATGCAGTGCAAAGGTGCAACTGTGAGCTTCTTATATGTTCATATTTGGAATAAGAACAATCTCTATCACCAAAACACCTCTTGCTTCAGAAATTACTTTCAAATGATTCTTCAGTAGTACTGGAAGATGAAATGGAAACTTATTTCAGATTTGTTTTTCAAGTTGTAATCTAAATGGATATGTTTAACTTAATAAATTGTACTTAGGATAGTCTTGAAGGGTTATTTCACAATCATTTATATGACATTGAAAACTGGAAAAAATAGGAGATATAGTACAAAATATTGAAGTTCAAAGCAGAAACGTAAAGACTGGGCAGAGACATTCTTAATGAAATATTTAAAAAACAGGTTCTTTGAGAGGATGCAATGAAAACAGAAATGTTCAAAACAACCCATTTCAATAACATAAGCACAAAAACATGAATGGTGCAATACAAATTCTTATATAATTATTAGTAACGTAAGCCTAACGACTGATTGGTAAAATATTAAATTTATAAGAAAAGATAATCAAAACAATTACTAAAGAGAATGATACAGTTAAAAATTTAAGTTTTAAACTAAAGATCATGTAACATTGCATCTCAAATTAGCTTCCCATCAGAAAGAGCACATCATTTACCATGCACAGAACATTGATCATTTAGAAGTCACAGGTCAGTTTAGTTACTTTAATTGCACACATTACAGATTAATAAAAAGGTCACATTCACAGCAATTGATATTACTGAGATACTAAACTGTAATACAACAGAACCTGAATTTGCAGCAGGCAATCCCACCTCACACTCCTATCTATCTCCAATTATCCCATTCAGCAGCAAAGGAGAGGTGCTGCAAATTAACTTCTTTATCACTTCTGCTAATTATCTCACTGATAGCAAGAGAGAATTAGAAACGGGATGAGATTAGCATATGGACAATTTGATGCCTGTAGCAACAGTATGATATATGTAAATATTCATTTATGAATACATATATTTTAAACATATCAGACATATGGGGAAAATTAAAAAAGTAAAGAAAATGGTGAAGTGTGGGAATTGGGAAGAAACGAGAAACTACATAGAGGGAAAGGAAAATTAAGTGTATTCATGCAGTGCAGATTCTCAAAGCAGGTAATATTTTTCCACTCTTTGCTCTTAGGCAAATTCCTGAAGTTCCTGAAAATATTTCTGGAGCTTTGATACATTTCTGAAGTAGGTTTAGACAGATGAGCTCCAACTGCCCTCATGTTCACTTGACTTACATGCTGTACACTAATGTTAAAACTCGGCAAGTAAAATACTGACCTGAAGGAAACAATTACCTAGCAATACACAATTGCAACAGGGACAATTAGGTAATGTTATGTCAGAAATAATGAACATGCCTAGAATAATGTATATGCATTTAGTTCTGGTGTGCTTTGAACTTTTAGATGCCACTGAGCACTTGAATATTATGAACATTTATTACAATTTTTTCTATTGCTATCATAAAATTATGAGGTACTAATAGAGTCTCCGTGCATAAATTATGATTTCTATTCACTAGAAAACATATCAGCTATTAAATATATGTATGTATACACTTATCAATTTATTTGCTTGATCCAATTCAGCATGCTTTATATGTCCAGTGTATTCCTTCACCCAGTGCCACCATAAATTTATTTTAAAAAGTACAACAGGAAAAAAAAAAATTTGCCTTTAATATTGTCACATGATTATAAGCAAGATGAGTTGCTGGTCTCTCAATATTATTCGTTTTACAACTGAAACAGATTTAATACTGAAGAAATAAGTTAAAATGGAAAATGTGTAAATAAATCAGGCACTGGGACTTTAAGGAATGGTATTGAAATGATCATGTTCCTTAGTAGGTAGGCAAGTCAAACTACAAAATAAACAAAGTTAATTGTGGAGGCATAAATGAATTCAGCAGAAGGACATAAAATGATTTATTTCCATGACAGTTTGGATCAATGATTGGAATCTTGAAGTTCAAACCTCATGTTAAGGTGTTAAAGAAAACGGTTTATCACATCTTTCAATTTGTTTCAAGCAAAAAGATTAGTGTGACACACAAGACATTCTTTGTCACTAGACTCGCTTACCAAACAGCACACTTCATAGTTTAATTAGAATTTCTATATGCAAGGTCAGTTAGGTTTTCAACATGGAAAATACAGAGACCTGACAYTGCAGGACAGGGGAGCATTTACAGGGACAGCCTTAAACCTATTCTACAATTCCCAAGCCGTGAAATTAGTCCAAAGAAAGTGCTAACSAGGTAGAATTTCCAACAGAAACAAATGTAATATCAACCTCGCCTTTTCTTTCCTTCATGAATTCTACAATAGCAAACTCCAGCTTACTCAGTATGCAGCATAAAAAACTGCAAATTCCTGAAGGAGTTATCCTCATCGGAAAAAGAAAAGTAAACAAAGAGGGAACACTTTTAGACCGCTAAAGACATGTATCCTTTTCTAGAAAAATGCTTAACTGAAAGGGAATGAATATAAGAATTATACAATACTTTGAGATAAAAATGAATCTCAGAAGTTTGCATTTCCACTACATTTTGTTATACAGCATTTAGATATATCTCCAAGATCAGAAAGCATCAATATTATTTTAAATCTAGCAAGGATATTCACTAAATATGGAAGGTAAAAGATAAGGAATTTCATTATCCTTTCATTATCTTGTTTATTATCACTGTTAAAGGAAGAACATTAGAGTAACCAAAAGCTGTAATTCTAAATCACAGCAAGAGAGTAAAAGGCTTGAATTTTAAATACTATTAAGTTTCAAGGAATGATTTCCTTCAGACATTCTGCTAAAAAATATGGGAATGTAACGCTATCTCTAAAAGTTTGATTCACATATACTATGAATCTCTCTTACTGGGGCAGCTACGTTCAGATGCACAAAAGATTATGTTCTGCATCCAGTGTAGGAATCCAAAGCTATTCCAAAATGTGAGGAATCAGATTTCCTCTGCAAGTATAGATTTCCTCTGTAACAAGTACAGAAATAGCCAACAAAGAAACATGGTTAAGAATTACAGGTTGCAACAAATTAGACTACCAGAAGTTTCCCAATTTTGGGAGCAGATGCAATTCATCTAAGATGCTACATTCTGGATAAAAAAGATAGAGCTTAAATTAAGTAAAATTATGTGCAACAGTCAAATATATCAAGACAAACTGTGCTTCACAGCAGAAAGTAGATTAAAACATCTCGATATATTGTAGAGTATGTTAACTGCAATATTTAAATGCCTGTGCAATATTGCTTGTAAGAAGCCAGGGTCATTATCAGATTGTTTACAGTATAAAGGAGGAAAAAGATGTTTCCAGAGAAATACTGCCAGTGAAAACCTATATTCTCACAACACAATGCTGCAAACACCAATAAAGAAACCAGATTTGACTGGTTTTGCCTATCCAAATATTTTCCTTAAATCCATTTTTTAACATAAGAATTATTAATACTTTTTATAGAGGTAGAGAACATAAAAGGTCTAAAAGCGTTATACAAAGAACTTGTCCTGCTTTTAACACCATGCTTTAGATGCAACTAGGTTCAACTGAAGCAGGCCTATAAACGTGTAGTAAGGTTGGCTGCAACAATTATTTTTTGGCCCACCATTTAATGTTAGATTCTTCTAGCTCAAATGCACGAGAGGCTGAAGTGTTTGATTAGTGTGAATATAGTACACAGTGTCCCTTAAGCCATCACCTTTCGCTTCTGCTGGGAAGAGCCCGTGTTATATTGGCCAGCAGCTCTGCGTGCTTCTTCTTCGTGTTGCTGGATTTGTTGTTGTAACAGAATGAGTTCGCCAAGCAGGCCCTGCCATGAGTTTATAATAAAAAGGAGAGGAAAAAGTTTGGGGTGTAAGGAGCACAAAGTTAAATCAAAGGGCATGACAAAGACAGACGAAAAACAGGAATGAATGGGTCAGTTCAAACAAAACGGAAAATTCCTTTGCAAGATCTCTTGGCTAGCTAGCTGGGACTGCACGTAGCTAGCAAAACCATGCATATTGCAAATCCAGGGACAACAAACATTTAGCTAACTTACGAATCAAAATTCAACTTTAAATTGGCACTTAAATCCTAAAGAAGTTCAGATATCTTGGCTTTAAGATATTCTAAAACGTTTCAGCATCCTATTGAGTATCACCTGCTTTTCAAAATGTAACCATGCCAATACAAGCAGCAATAATGTTTTTATACGCTACAGAAAGTTGTGCACAACAGTTAATATGCTCAACTGTACCGGGAGCATGCAAGTTCTTATTCTGTTCTTGCTGTCAGCAACAGAGACCGTTTATCAATTGTTATTTATTCTGCTACATAACCTTCAAACTAAGTTTGAAGGAGACAATCTCCCTTTTATTTAAAGACCAGTTTCAATTGTTATCATAGTTCTWCCTGATTATCTCAAAAACCCTGAATCTTAATACTTATTTCTTCACTCATTCAGCATTTCTCGGAAGCTTAGTTTTCTTATTTTTTCCTTCCTTTCAAATAATCTCACAACAGTAAGTTGCCTTTCAAAAAGTCCACACTGGTTCAGAGATGCTCTGTCAACTTCCACTGGAGATTTCTCTATAATTTATTCTAGAGAATGTAGATAGATGTAGGAATACGCTATTTACATAAAGTCAGTTATAYAGTATAATACTATTTTTTCCTCCAAGAAAGCATTCAATAAAAAGTTTCAAACAAGCATCACAGGAATTAAAATTCTGAAACAGAACTTGTGTCTGAAATACAATTTGACTGTAGATGTGAATATGTCTGTTATACAAAACACAGACACAGGCATGTACACATAAGGATAAACACCACAGGAGAAAATGGATAGAAGGAGAGACAATCAAATGACCAAATGTAAATATTTGTTTTAAAAATGATATGCGTACAGTACTTCAAGAATAGAAAAATACTCACATTTCTATTTTATTGAAGCACTTTAAGCATTAACTAATATCTATACTGCTGGACTAGAAAACACATTAGAATTGTATCAAAAAGCAGGCAAATACAAGTGATGCCAGTAACGTCCTTACATAGCAGTATTATTGTCAATACCTGAGATGTCCTAACTTGGAGTAGAACTTTTTCCTTAATAGATTGAGAGCCATTTATGTAATTAGCTCAGGGTTTTTTTTTTTGTTTGTTTGTTTTTTTAACAAATTACTTCAACATGCAGGTTTTATTTTTCCTTTCAATGCACATTACTTTAGAACAACTTGTAAAGTATTCAATTACTACTCTCAAACTAACTTTTCTTTTTGTATGAGTATGATCAAATGCAGGCAGACCTTTTACGTTATCTGAATGACAAAATACCTGTTTTAAATAGAACTCCACAGTCTGGAACTGAAGCTGCTTGAGAAGGACTTAGCGCTGATTACTAACTTAGGGCTGAGGCTAAAAGGAATAACAAAGACTGCACAGTTTCTTTTCTTTTCCTGCCCATTCAGACACTAACCAACCAAGTTGCAGGGAAATAATTAGTAAGGAGTTTGCCCATAAGAACTTAATCATCAGCAATTCATCAATATAAAAATGAAAGTTACAAGAATTCAGGGCACAAATAGGTCGTGAATTTTCTGAAAGCTAACACAGATGCTAGGCAGACTACTTCATAGAACTGAGAGTCTTAATACAGCATTATTTTCATATCTATCTAAAATGCTATAATAAAGAGCAGAGGAGTCATCTGAGTCAAATGATACATGATATTCCTTATCAAGGCTCCTTTCTTCTTTTCCACCACTTAGCTTTCGAGGAACTGCTGCTAATCCTCACAGAAGTATAAGACCCTCTGCTGCTCCATGAAGTATTGCCAGATCCTCAGCAGTGAATCAGGTTCTCCAAATCATGATATTTTATCACAGTATCCAAGTTAGGGAAAGGTTTGTGCTGTCAGCTTTGACTAACAAACACTGAACTGTTTATCTACTGGGTCCCAAATCAATAATTAAGTCATATTTTTCACTTTCACTCACTTCATGACAGTTAAAATGACTTATAAATGACTTCATAAACTAGGCTAAACTTCCAAATTTGCTTGACTTAAGAGGGAGCTGAAACTCTCTAGGGAGTTTTTCTTGAAGATAATCTTCAATTAGAAAAATTATGTTATTTTCTAAGAAGCAAACACTGCTATTTCAGTAACAGTTTGAAACACTCCTATTGTGCAAATACAAAATAGCTTACTATTGGCTTTATAACCATTTTCCCTTTCTCTGAAAACTGCAACTATAGCATTTTATACATACACAAAAAACACAATTCTTAAACTAGAATTGTTTGGAACTGATAAGCATTCTATGAAGAAAGGTATCTAATTGCCTAGAAAATAATTTGCTTGCCAATAAACTGATTGTTCTGTGACAGCTATATACAAAGTGCTGTGTTTGAAATATGACCACAAAAACAGAACATTCAGACTAGCAAAACACCCCTTTACAAGCCTAACATGCTGAATATAATTGGAAAAATAAAATAACCCAGACCAAATTTCATAGATCATATTGGTTTATTATAAGCTGATATTTTCTTTTTTCACCCAACTTCTGTCAGCAAAATTAAAATGCAGTGGTCACTGTATTTCAAAAAGCAGAATAGTAAGTATTTGTGACATTATGGGTACTCAGAACAAAACTCAACTAATTTAGCTACCAAAGCTACTGAATAAATTATGATCACCATTCTTCAAAAGTCAGTATTTTTTAAAYTATCTATGCTAAGCCAGCCATCAAGAAACAACAAACCATGAACAGTTTACTGACACAGCTTTAGGGGTTGCAAATAACTATATTTATTTCTAAAACAGAAATATGCCACTGTTCCAAAGAGAAAAATAGACTATAAAAAGCAGTCTTTGTAGAGATTTCACTATATGAAACTATATTCACACATGCAGAATTAACACAGAACAAATGCCTGAACATGTAGAAAGTCTTTCATGTAAAAGCCCCATTTACAGTTCACCAAAAACTAGGAACTTTTCAGTTGCAAAAATAAAACATAAATTCCCCAAAAATATATTGCTGCTTTTCCAATTGTTTTAGAAAAATTGTAAGCGTACACAGGCAAAATGAAAAGTCTTCTAAGCTAAATTTGTTGATTAGCAATTTAATAAGATCTGCTATTCATAAAAGCAAAAAAATTAACTTTTGACAAAATGAAATTTTGTCAAAAATTTTAACAAAATGAAAATTTTAAGAATCAGTTATAAAAATATAGTAATAACGTTTCCAGAAAATGATTTTTTWAAAAAAGTTTTATAAAATTTCTAAATGCAGAAATTAAAAGGATAGATTCCTTATGAAACACAAGCTTTTTATTAAGGCAGAGATCCAGATGCAAGAATCACAAGCCTGAAAATGCCAAAGGAGGTTGCAGTAGGAAGAGCTTCAAAACAAATATAAAAGCCTAAATCAACATTTTATAAGCTCAGGTTCCACGAGGAACATAACTAGAAAGATACCTAAAACGACAGGTTCATCATAATCCAAGTTCCTGACAATGTAATTTTGAAAGATTTAATGACTGCCTTGTATCTCAAAACATGCCTATAGTCATTACACCGCTTATTTATCAAAACCAGTAATGTAGTCTCAAGCCATTTTCAGTAATAAATTCTATTCAAGCTGCTTTAAATAGATCTACAACTAGTTACTAGTTACCAAAGTACTTGGTAACTAATCACAGACAAAACTTTGTGATGTAAAGACATTTCCATCTTCAAAAAGGAGTAATTTACCTTCTTATACTGTTTGTCGTTTTCATATCCCTGGTCTGTAGCTCTGAATGCTGTTTCTCCTGAAGAGCCTAGGGCATAATTATAGAAACTCATTAGAACATCCAAAATACACTCAAAACTTTCTCAGAATACAACTAATCGAAATAAAAGTTTCACCCCCCAATTATTATAACATCAATCTCTGAAGTTGCAAACAACCCCAAAGATTTACTGTATGTAAAGAAAAAGGAATTCAGTTTAAAACCCATCTGAAAACAAAAACAACAACAAAAAAAAACAATCTAGGTTTTGACTCAATTAAGTTATAATAATAAGGAAACAGGCAACTTCAGCTAGACTATTCAAGTTCTGAAAGCATCCCAGTGAATATACGGTTTTAGACATCATCAGATCATAGTACCAATCCCATTGTGCAAGGAGAAAAAAGAATACTCTATCCTACTGTCAGGCCCAAAATTTTTTTGCAAGCAAGCTTCTGAAAAAAGTCTGAAATAAAAGGCATCTGCTAAGGACTGGCAGAGAAACATCAACTATTCATTTTCACAGTGGGCTATCTGCATTTTTAGAACAACTGGATGGCATTTGTAATTCAACATGGAATTGCTGTAAGTTTGCTCACTCCCTCTTAGCATAGCAGTGTTAAGGGCAGTAAAAAGGGCTTTTTACACACCTAACAACAGAAGCAGATCAGAAGCTCCTATGACTTCACTAACCAAATTGTAACCTGTGAAAAATCAGCAAAAGAGGGGAAATAAAAATTATAAATACAAACCAAAAGGCAAAACAAAGATAAGGAATCTTTGTCTCATTTGGAGTACCAGATAATCAGAACGGCAATTATGCCCATGTGAGTCCGCTAACAAACAGGAAACATCTCTCGATCCCAGTCAATAATATAGTAATAAAGTTATCAATAATATTGGGGGATCAAYAATATACTAATTTTAAGCAGCCAAAATAAAGGCAATTGCCATCTACTGGTCACTATTTAAACTGATCCCTATTTAGGTGTTTTCTGATTTTTGAATAAGGTGAAAAAGAATTAGTTCCACAACAAAACACCTAGAGCAACAACCATGAAAATTTATATATGCAGTCTTTCATGAATACAAATTTATGTGTTTTTGCAAATATTTACATATACTAGGAAGAATCACTATGACAAGAACATTCAGGTGAAATTGAGCAGCACTAAAGGACAAGTAATATGAAGATCAAGACTATAATTTCTAGTTTTCAAAAAGAAGTCTAACCAGGGATGTATTGCAAAAAATCTCCTGAAATTTGATTAACACAACACCCTACTAAGCCTACTGTATATGGACACACTAAACTGGGAATACATYCCACATTATTTTTTTTCTGGATGATATTTAACTCCTATACTTCTTTAGTCTTCTTCACCAGAAATGTATTCCCTACCTAAGCTAAAATTTCTAGTAGGTCCTTCTGCAGTAGCRTCCAAATGGAAAATACCACTCAATCCACAAGAATACATTACTGTAGTTACAAATCATTTAATTTGCATGCTTCCAACATTAACACAGTTCTTTAACAATCCAACAATAACTACAGTACTTTATTGTTGAGTACTAACCTCACCTTCTCCAAACTCCAGCTGGACACTACCAGCTCTCTGAAACAATTCAGCTTTCAATCTACTTGCCTACAGTTGAACAAGAATTCTGGTTTTCCATTCAGTTACATATTTTGTATTTCAGAACTGGCTGCTAGAATTCTTGGTTTTAAAAATAYATTACACTTACCTGGGTCCAAAACATTTTCAGATGAGATATTCAATGAAAGGCATGCATTTCAGGATCTTTTTTTCTTTCAGGTCTACAGACACATCTGTGACTTTATCTTGTAATAAGATATCTTTTCAAAATTAAAACTAAGCTGAAAAATTGTTCTCACCAGGAGAAAAAAATCCCTTCAGTGACGTGAAGCTTTCTCCAATCTTCTCAAAATCAGGCATAAGTTTGGCAAGGTCATCTGCATCAGGAAGGGCTTTGATAAATTTATCTAGAAAAACAGGATAAGAACTAATAAATACATATACATTTTTTGTTCACAAGAATAGCTTAAGCAGTCAAACTTAGTAGGTGTATAYGGCTTTTCCCGATTTTATTATCATGAAATAAAAAGTTTTTCTGCCTACACCTCCTCCTATTCCTTCCCCATCAGCTACTGTTGGGAAAGGCTATCAGGACTGAAAAACAAACTGCTTTTTTAGACTTTGAACTTGCTGATAACTTAGTTACAGCTTTTGACCATTTCTGATTTGTTATACTTCCATCCACTTAGGAAATGGTGTTTCTAAGTTACAGGACACCATAACTATGGTCACTCCACACCAGCTTCAGGGAAAGCTTACTTTTCCAATTTCATATGTAAGTCCATTTTGTAACCATGTAGAAAATCATATTAGTTTCATAGCACTACAAAAATGTAATACTCAGCAACAGTACTAACAATATAAACAAGAAAAAAATTCTCAGTTACTCAATCTCTTCATTTATCTATACAACACTCATAGCAGAAGCCTTCATAAACACTTTAAAGAATTCACACCTGCTTAATACCCTGCATAYATAATAAGTGACTCCATGTTTGTTTCTTTACATTTCTATCTTTCAGCAGAGAACATATGCTAGGAAACTGCCATAACCATAACATTCAGGAAAAAKAGATTCAAGGTTCTCTTTCTTTATTCTTTGTTTTCAAGATAGTTTTGTAGATAAGTGGCTTCTTTAGCATTTCCAGTTAGATCTGTTAACTATACTTATTTTTTACTTTTTTTTCCTTATGAGAGTCATCCATACAGACAGAAAGAATTTGTACATATTTCTACCAAAACACACCCAAAACTAAGTCTCTCATTCATGTTGAAATTCTCTTCTGAATAATGTTAGAATGCTAATGGCTGGAGAGATTGACTATACTCACTCCATACATGCAATGGATCGAATGCATTCTCAAACTACAGGATAAATTACACAATGTCAACACTAAATAAGGATTCTTTTTCTGCGGACACGTTGGTACAAATACCTTCTCAAAACAGAACAAACCCTTTAATAACTCTAGTGCACTCAAACCAGGCTACGAAAATGAGAAGCATCAAGATCCTACGTCCTATGTGCTAGTCTGTAGGTTCAGAGTAACATTTTAGCTTTTGTGATACCGAGGTCAATATGTTCATCAAGCTCCCAGATGAAGTCAGGAACAATCCACTTATATTCATCGAGATCAGGCATCATGTCCTTCCACTGATCGTATGTCTAATATGAAAAGGAAGCGTATAAACATATAGAACATCTACTGAAAATAATACATTCAGTAACATAAAACATATTATCCCACCATCAGATATGACCCATACTACTTAGGTCCTCTAAAATCTATTCTAGTTCTCTGAACAATGTGTTTTTCCTTTTCATTCACCTCAAACTCTTACTTTCATTAGTTAACCAAGCAATGACCTGCCAAGAATACGGTTTTGAAATGCATAACAAAGCCAAAATGCACATAGTCTCCACAGATAAATACCTTCTTAGCTGTATAACCACCACCTACAGCAGATCCTAACACAATATAGCGGAGTTTGAGAAGCCTCGAAGCTAGTCTCGCTAGCCAAAAGTTCCTGTGCGACTGGAATCCATACTTCACATACAAAAGTTTTGTTTTCCTTATGGGAAGACGATTAAGTGAAGAGAACAGCTGAACAGGTATCCTTAGTGGAGGTCTTGGAAATTTTGAGCTTGGATAGTAGGGATGATGTATACTTCGGGAAACGAGATGCAAGTTTTGAAGTGGCGATTTTCTTTTTACTCCACAGTTGCTATTTGCTAGACTCCGGCAGATGGCACTAAGAAAAAGAAAAACTCTGAAGTAATAGATGGCTCAACACACTATTAACTCAATAATGTTTTTAGAAGCCTTTCATGTTTCATTTTAGTTGGTTACAGATAAAAGAGTATCACTCAACATAAAATTTTAAGCTATAAGAAACAAGTAAACCAGGAAATAAAAAACTCTCAAAGCTGCAACAGTATTAACAGGTATACTACTTGCACTGAAAGAAAACTTTAAGTATTATTTACCAAATTCATTGTTCAGTGAATCTAACTTCCACACAGAACTACAGCAATTGAAATGTTTGTTGCAAAATACATTTGTCCTAGAGTCCGCAGGAAACTATGACTGACTTCCAAGGGGAAAAAAAAAAAAGGCTTAACAGTTTTGTCTTCCTTGTTACACAAAACTCATAAAGAATATTAAGTTTGCAGAGGACTTTCTAACTCCAAAAAAATGATACAAAAATGAAAAATTCCTTTTGTAAAATAAACAGGCTTTTTTTTGTTGTTTTGTTTTGTTTTGGCAGAGTTAACCCTCCCTTGGAGCAGAAGGAACTAGATGATAATCTTTGATTTGCTCATATTTTCTGTGGTTTTAAGACCACAACATTCTTGTTTTGTGTCAGGTCATTCATAGACAAAATTACTTCTGGACATGGCTGCATCATAGCTGATGAAGGTTCAAAAACTAATTCAGATTTAGGCAGAAGAAAAATTTCAGCCTGAATGATCTATGTCTGGCAAAAGAAAAGCAACGTTCAACCATGAAAAGCACATGTCAAATGGGAATTTTGCCAATGCTGCCCATAACAAAACACACCCAAAAGCTGGAATAAAGCTCCCTAACTACTTCAGTTCCTGCTATATGCAAGTCTTTATATTTTATGGTAATTCTAGTTTAGAGAAAAGTCAAGAGATCTGGAAAAAGAATTTCTTCTGTGCTCCACCATATCCTAGTGAGTCATTAAACCATAACTCATAGTGAGTAGTTAAACTACTCATAGTGAGTAGTTAAAATCATTCACAGAACATAAATCATGAATAAGGTTACAGTTCTTGAAATTAATGCTTATTGGAAGACTTTATTATAAAAGTGCTTTTTATGCAGAAATTGAACTTATATAGATGAAGATAAATATAACAATTACGTGAATTGAGATATTTTCCTCTTTTAAAAGGTCACTCTGTGTCTATGCATAAGAATTGCCATTAGGATAATGCAATGCTTAAAAGGGTCTGTTGTTATAAAGTCCCTCTTTTATAAAAAAGTCAAAGTCTTCCCTTGCTGCCATGAACTACCGATAAAAGCCAACAGGAGAATCATACTTGGGTCTTTGAAATGTGCTCTGAGGTGGACTAGGGAGCCAGAATGGTGATAGTAAGCGAAATGCTTCAGCAGCCCTAAATTTAAAGGCTGGGGGAAGCTGCTCTTAACAAAACAAATTGAGCTTTCTGGGCCCAACTAGCTCTACCACTGAAATCTGCCTTATAACCAGCCAGCAACCAGACCACCCTGGCACTGCAGAGATTAGTGCCTACTCTTATCTTACCAAGTGTCTACTACTGTGATAGATGCACTCCACCTGAAAGTCTGGATAATAATGCCTGCATTTCATGCATATTGCATTATTTTCAATGTTGAAAACATAAAGCTCACTTCAGCTAGGGTAAATGCTGCCGGGGTAAAATGATGTTTTAAACGTCTTTAATGGCTACGGCTGCAAAATTCTATTTGAAACATATACGAACAAAACTCATCGGAGCGTTTTCTTCCCGAGTCAGTAGCAGACTGCCCTTAACCCCCTGCCACTGCCCCAAAGCCACGGGGAGGGCGGAGATGGGGCGCAGGACCAGAAGCCTCGCAGTTTCACTGCCCCTGTGGGGAATCACGCAGGAATCCACCCCAACGGCAACACGAGCGCGGGGCGGCCGCTCTGCGGGGCGGCCGAGCGGGACGCGGGCGGCTCCTGCCCGCCCCCCGGCTGCGAGGGGCCGGCAAGGGCCCGG